GGTGCCCCCGCGCTTGCGTGCCCCGGAAACCGTCGGCCCCTTTCCGCCTCCTTTTCCTTTCGTGGTTCCATTCGCGGCGCAATCTTTTGCCGCGCGCCCATATCCTCCGCATTTGTAACGCGTGGGCCTCTTGCCCTTGCCGTTTTCCGTTGCTCGCTTCATTCGCGTCGCAATTTCCGCTCATGTCCTCCGCGTTCCAAGCCCGTCAGTTCCCGCTTTCGTCGTGATAAGCGGAATCGTTGAAGCCGGCACACCAGTCGTCAACGTCTTCATCGTTAGCTTGGCCGCCCCCGATCTAATCGTAGTTTTCGTTGCGTCGGCATCTAATATTTCCTTCGTTGCCCAATCCTCGCGCTTGATGAAGAGTTTTTGATCGGCGTCAAGACTTAACGATTCTGGCGTCTCGGGGCAATCCTGGTGCCCGTCGTCGAACCAGTCGCCCGCTCGAGTCAAGATGACCCTCGGCGCAGTAGTCCTGAATGACCATGGCAACGAAAATGCAGACCCGCACTGTCCAAGGGGCTCCACCAATTCACTCCAATGTTCGAGTTGGGTCGTCATATCCGGCCGCCTTCTCGGGCTGTTCAGGATTCATGGCCAGGTCCATCTCGCGAGAGAATGTGACTCCAGTAACGGCAGAATCCCATGTGTACATCTTCTCATCGGCCATCGAGCCATCGCCTTCGCGCAGGCCCTCGACTCCGCACTCTCCAACTTGTCATTCAACACAGGCCAGATGTCCTCGTCCAATTTTGCGAAGCCGTCTTCGTCGAATTCAAATTCCCCTTTTGCGCCGTCTTCTTGTTTCTTGGTCTGCGACGCCTTGGTGCAGTCGCTTAGTGTAGCCTCCCGATCATAACCTTTGTCAGATGACCCTCTTCGCCACCGGGCGACGCCCCATACATGGTTCGAGCTTGTCGCTCAAACGTTTCAAAGCTTTCCGATCACCATGCTGCACTTGGGCGAGCGCATTTAACACCTGTTTGCTCCATCCCTTGGATTTGGCCCGGTCGCCCGATACAATTTCTCACAATTGGGCCGCATTGTATTCGCCCGCGGGCTTGTTTCCACCTCCTCCAGCCCTGGTGCTTTGAACCGGCGATATAGCCTCTACGATATTGCTAGAATGCTCCGAGGCATGCACTTGACGTTGGAGCTGGGTGCTCACATGGTCTTTCAAGTTGATGAGCTGCTCCTCGCGGTGCATGTTGCGGCTGATGACTGCTGCCAGAAGCATGCTTGCATGTTGTAGTTGATCTGCATACCTCGTGATTGTCAACCGTTCTGGTGCCTACTGTAGCGAAGAGCTCGAGGACAAACCACCTCCTGTCACGATTGGCCTTGAGCGCTGTGCTCATATGCATGAGATCTCCGTGTTCGCAACAGGCATTGCACAGCTCCGCGAATCGATTCGTGCTCATGTTGGCTCAAGATTCTCGGACCTCAACTAACGTTACATCGCAACCTGGGTCAGTCGTGCCAGGGTCCGGCGGGGCCGTTTCGGCTGCCGCTGCGGCCGTTGCAGGACGGCGAGTGCTTCGTGGAGTCAACCACGCGCGCTGGAATCCGCGGGGCCAGCCGCGGGTTCTGTTACCACGAAAATATGATAGTAGCTTTTTTCCCGGGAGGTAAGCACGACTCGAGACAAACGGCCGTGCCAAAAAAATCGGTCGAACACGTTGCGGTTTGGCCGCTGTTCTACATCCGCCGCTCACCCAGCCTGAACGCTTAAATTGACCCCTCGTCCTCCTCCTCGTCCTCCTCGTCCTCCTCGTCCTCCTCGTCCTCGTCCTCGTCCTCGTCCTCGTCCTCGTCCTCCTCCTCTTCCTCCTCCTCCTCCCGCTCATCAGCGCGGCGGGGAGGGCAGATATCGCTGTGCCGGGTACCGTGTCCTAATGTTCGGCACTACGCCGCGGCGACATTAGTAACGCCATTTACGTTTCACGGCTTGGCGTCAGCATCCTGGCTCGTCTTGTTGGGCCCCGCCCCGCGGCACCTTGCCCGGGGTCGTGGCGCTTAGCTACGCCCGCGAAGATGGGGCCACCTTGAGCTTCCAGGCGCGGGGGTCGTGCGCTTGAAGGAGCGGCGGGGCCGCGTGGTCCACAAGTCCCCTGGGGCATTCGTGCCGGCTCGCCCTGGGGTGCCAGCCCAGTTGCACGTGTCAGATGTTTTGGCAAGGGCTGATCGTCGGGAGGGCCCCCACACGGAGGAGGTGAACCGACCGTCCCCCTACGCACCACCGCCATCACGTATGAGTAGCGAACCGCGGGGCGACAGGGCGCTGACCTGTACCTCGACCGTGTTGCGTGAGCTCCTCGCCGGTGGGCGAGTGGCCTTTGCTGCACGTGAAGAGGGACGTCTCCCCGTGTGGGGGCGGAGGGCGGCCCGTTTTGCGATGAGGCAATACTCTCGTGTGAGGCAAGCCTCTCGCGCGGATTCGCTTCTCTGTTTTCCATGGTTCCTCCTCCCACTCCTCTTCCTCATCCGCCTGTTCCTCCTCCTTCCTCGACCATCGTCCCTCCTCCCCCTTCCCCTCTCCTTTCTCCCCTTCCTCCGCATGCTCTTCCTCCGATTCCTCCTCAGTCGTTCCCCTCTTGGGGTACGATTTTTCCGAACCCTTGTTCTTCCACTGCGTTCTACTCCAAATCCCAGATCAGGGCAGCTCGCCTGGGCACCGTTTCAGGAGAGGCAGGTGGGGGTACGCGAAGCGTCTAGAACATGAGCATCGCAACATGCATAATCATGCGTCGATGTACACGTGCGTACTTACATGCATGTACACATGTACACACACGCGCCCCGTGCAAAATTCAAAGTACCAAGGTGCATGGTGCAAAGCCTCAGTGCAGCCTGACATTTATATATGTATATACATACATACATACATACATACATACATACATACATACATACACACACATACATACATACATACATACATACATACATACATACATACATACATACATACTTACATACATACATACATACATACATACATACATACATACAAGCATACGTCTATGTATACAAACGCGTATGTATACACATTTGTTTGTGTTCATGTCTGTGTATATATATAAATACACTCCGTATCTCTCTTAGTTTACGACAATATGTATACTCGGCTACCCTGGGGATCCTTATAATGAATGGTCCTGGGACCCGAAACGAGCTTCACCTCGGAGCCGAGTTACTCAACATACGCCCGTCGTGGTCGTTTCTCGACGTCTGGTCGGAAGAGGCGGCGGAGAAGGAAGCAACCATGCGCACCGACCGACCAGCTTGAACAACATCCGTCAACAAGATGGCGAGCGAGGAGGAGGAGGGTGAGGAGGAGCAGGAGAAGGAGAAGGAAATGCCCCCCACATTCCCAAGACAACTCCCACGGTCTCTGGAAGCCCAAGGAAAGCCACGAAAGCCAACAACCTGGGCCCTCGATCTCCGAACCTCGAGGAGGAGGAGGAGGAAAACACGCGTATTTGTTCTCCCAAGTCAGTGTCCTCCGCATATCATATGCAATCATTGCTATGGTTGGTTGTTCCTCCTCCCCCCCCACGCCCACTCGCAGGCCCTCGAGGAGTCCCATACTTGTCCTGCACACTGTGCCCTTCATGTTCCGCACTCGCTTTCTGCCCAACTTGTTGGACTCTGCGCCTAAGTCGGCATTTAGTCCAGCCGTGGAACTTGCCACCGGAAGATCAAAAGACGAGAAACAGGAGGAGGAGAGCAGGAGAAAGAGAATCCTCCTCCTCCTCCTCCTCCCTGCTCCTCGTCCTCCTCCTCCTCCTCCTCCTCTTCCTCCTTCTCCTCCTGGGAAGGAAAGGGGGAGGAGGACAAGCTAGGCGCGCTTGCGCCTCATCTGACATCCTATCCCTCCCTCCCATCCCTTCCCGTGGCGCCGATGGTTCTTCACCCGAGGACGCGTGTCCGACCCACCCAGGAAGACCACTTCGTGTTGTGCGCAATCATACGACGGGGGAGCGGCGTGCACGGGAGGAGGTGGCGGGCGAGCGGAAGGATGAGCGGGATGAAGAGGATTGAGGACGAACAGCAACGGCAGCAGGAACTAAAGCGAAACGATCGGGGGGGAAATGTGGGACCAGAGGAGGACGGAGGAAGAGAAACGAGAAGGAAGAAAGACTCGGATTTAGAAGGGTGGCCCGCGCTGAGGCGAGACGAACAGCAGCAGCAGGAACTGGAGTGGAAGGAGCGGGGGGAACAAGAGGACCAGGAGAAGGCGGAGGAGGGGAAATGATGGGGGAGACCACGATCAAGCAAGCGTCGGATGCAGAACAATGGCCCGGGCTGGGGCGCGAACGCCATTCTGAACGACGAGAGCACCACGCCGATCCGAAGGTGCGGCCCACGGTGCAGCGGGAACGCCATCTGAAACAGCGGAATCACTTTGATTGAAACAAGCTATGAGACTAAACAACTTTTGGAAACAATTGTTGACATCCTGCGTGAAGAATAACAACACGCGGAGGGGACGGGAGATCTTCCGGACATCTTCTGGAAAGGGGGGGAATAGTATTCATATTGTTTAGCTGTGATGGGGGAGGAGGAGGAGGAGGAGGAGGAGGAGGAGGGAGGAGAAGGAGGAGCAGAACAAGGGGGCTTCGTTTCTGCCGGCTCATCCGCCGACGAGCCAGTCGCGCCGCAGTGGTCGGTCGCCCGGCACGCCGGGGAGCGTGGGCTGCGGCCTCATGCGGCCCAGTGCGTAAGCGTTGGCCCCACCTCTGCCTCCTCGGGCAAGGAGGGGTGGACCTCGTCATCCAACTTCGCATCCTCCTCCTCCACCTCCTCCCTTCCTCCTCCTCCTCCTCCTCCTCCTCCTCCTCCTCCTCCTCCTCCTCCTCCTCCTCCTCCACATCCTCCTTCTCCCCTTCCTCCTCCACATCCTCCTTCTCCTCCTGTTCCTCCTCCTCCTCCTCCTCCTCCTCCTCCTCCTCCTCCTCCTCTACCTCCTCACTTCCTCCTCCTCCTCCTGTTATATTTCCTTCTCCTTCTCGTGCAAGCGCCGCGGCGAGTCTATCACAGACACACGCCCAACGCGCACCCTGAGCTTGTAGCCGAACAGCAACCACGCGACGACCTGGAGCAGCGCGACGAGCCAGCTAATTACGCCGCCACGACGGCGAGCAATTCCGCATCTCGGCCAACGCCGTCCGCCCCAAGGGCGATGCGCAACTGTCGACCTGTGGCCCTGTGGAGTGCCACGCTCAGCTCCCAGCAACACCGGGCCACGAGCTGCCCTGCAAGAGCCTCGGCGGCGCCCTCGTCTTCCGGCTCCGGCAGCGCCGCCTGCTCCCGGGCCAGGCCGCGGAGGTGGCGCAGGGCGGCCTTGCCGTGGCAGCCTGTGGCTTCCAGCGCCAGCGGTGCCGTGCGCCAGGGCGCCTGGACCTCGTGGCACTGTCGGTGTTTGTTTGCCTCCGCAGCGGCGTTCATGGACCCGTCCTGGCCGCCGCCGGCGCGGAGCCCTTCTCGTCGTCGTCGTCGTCCTCGTCCTCCTCCTCCTCCTTGTCCTCCGCCTCCCCCTTTCCTCGTCCTCCTCTCCTCCTCATCTCCTAGTCCTCCTCTCCGTCTCGTCCTCCTCTCCTCCTGCTCCTCCTCCTCCTCCTCCCCCTCCTCCTCCTCGCGCCCCCCCTGCTTCCCCGCTCAACAAGACAACTCGATGTTTCGGTCCTGTAAAGCTTTCTTGGTTTGTCCTTGCGGCTTTCTTTTGTCCCCGCGTGTACTAATCTCCGGTCGGGCCCCTAGGGTGGCTCCCGCTCGAGCGGGGACTCCCATCCGACAACACACAGACACGTACGTAGCCCCCCCGCCCAGAATTCCAACCCGAGACAGCTGGAGAAACCTCACTCGAATCGGGAACTTCCGCTCGGCGTGCCGCGGCAGTGTCCCTAGCGACACGCTGTGCCCTGCAGGCGGGTGCCGTGCTGCTTCGTTCTGCGGGGTGGGGCGGCTGGGAAGAGCTCCGGGCGCTGCTGCCCAGGGGGGGGCCGGGAGTGCTGATCCGAAGCGTGGCGGCCCGGCACCGGCGGCGCGACATGCCAAGCCAGAGTCCCACCAGCCCTTTGGGCGTGAGTGGTTTAGAGAGCTCTCTCTGTTCTCAACCCCCCTTCTTCCCCTGCGGGGAGGGGTTTACCCCTCCCCCTACCCCCTCCCCCTGGGCCTGGAGAGGTCCTTTCGCGGGTCGTTGGAGGGGTCATCTTCGACTCCTGGGAGGGCTAAGAAACGACACCCCTCACGAGGATTCTGGCCCCGACGGGGGGGGGCAGAAAAAAAACTCTCCTCTTCTTTGAAGCCATAATCATTGATTTTACTACGGTTTTGGCCCCATTTTGGCCTTCTGAGGGGGCAGCGCTCATTAAAGCTCCCCTCTTCCTTCAAGGCAAAATCATTGATTTTACGAAGGTTTTGGGCTCATTTTGCCCTTCTGAGGGGGCAGCGCTCATTAAAGCTCCCCTCTTCTTTGATCGATTCCCTCCAAGATGGCCCCAAGAAGCGCCCAGGAGGCACCAAGAGGCCCCAAGATGGCCCCAAGAGGCCCCCAGGAGGCCCCCAAGAGGCCTCCAAGAGGCCCCCAAGATGCCCCCAAGAGGTCCCCAAGAGGCCCCAAGAGGCGCCGAAGACGCCCCAAGAGGCCTCCAAGAGGCTCCCAAAAGACATCTACTACTACTTCTACTCGTACGACTACTACTACTACTACTACTACTACTACTACTACTACTACTACTACTACTACTACGACTACTACTACTACTACTACTACTACTACTACTACTACTACTACTACTACTACTACTACTACTACTACTACTACTACTACTACTACTACTACTACTACTACTACTACTACTACTACTACTACTACTACTACTACTACTACGACTACGACTACTACTACTACTACTACTACTACTACTACTACTACTACTACTACTACTACTACTACGACTACACGACGACAACGACGACGACGACGACGACGACGACGACGACGACGACGACGACGACGACGACGACGACGACGACGACGACGACGACGACGACGACGACGACGACGACGACGACGACGACGACGACGACGACGACGACGACGACGACGACGACGACGACGACGACGACTACTACTACTACTACTACTACTACTAGTACTACTAGTATCACTACATCATCTCCTACTACTACAACTACAACTACTATTACGACTACTACTAGTCCCACCAGCCCTTTGGGCGTGAGTGGTTTAGAAAGCTCTCTCTGTTCTCAACCCCCCTTCTTCCCCTTCGGGGAGGGGTTTACCCCTCCCCCTACCCCCTCCCCCTGGGCCTGGAGAGGGCGCCCCGCGGGTGGTTGGAGGGGTCTTTGTCGACTCCTGGGAGGGCTAAAAAACGACACCCCTCACGAGGATTCTGGCCCCGACGGGGGGAGGCAGAAAAATGCTCCCCTCTTCTTTGAAGCCATAATCATTGATTTTACTACGGTTTTGGCCCCATTTTGGCCTTCTGAGGGGGCAGCGCTAATTAAAGCTCCCCTCTTCCTTCAAGGCAAAATCATTGATTTTACGAAGGTTTTGGGCTCATTTTGGCCTTCTGAGGGGGCAGCGCTAATTAAAGCTCCCCTCTTCTTTGATCGATTTCCTCCAAGATGGCCCCAAGAAGCGCCCAGGAGGCACCAAGAGGCCCCAAGATGGCCCCAAGAGGCCCCCAGGAGGCCCCCAAGAGGATCCCAAACGGCCCAAAGAGGCCCCCCCGAGGCACCCAAGACGCCGAAAAGCCCATCAGGACGACCCTCTACTCGCCTGGGCGTCGTTTCTGGACGGGCAGGAGGAGGGGCCCGAACGACTCACACCAGGACGAGGGGCCCGAACAACTCACACCACGAGAAGCCCGAACGACTCACACCAGGACGAAGAGCCCGAACGACTCACACCACGAAGAGCCCGAACGACTCACACCAGGAAGAAGGGCCCGAACGACTCACACCAGGACGAGAAACCCCAAACGACTCAAACCACGAGGAGCGCTTTCTCTCCCTCCTCCTCCGCCTCGTCCTTCTCCCGCTCCCACCACAAGGAGGATGTACAAGGAGGCGGGAGGAAGGAGGAACAGGGGAGATATGCGGGGGCAGGCGGAAACACGCCTGAAAAACACGACTGTCGGCATGCTTCGCTAGAGTTGCTGCTTTGAGATGGGCTGGTGGGGATACGCGAAGCGTGAAGAATTCCCGACCGTAGGCATGCTGGCTGACAGCTCATAGGCGTTCTTGACGTCGGCGAGGAGGAGGAGGAGGAACACGCCAAGCCAGGGTTCCCGACCGTAAGCATGCTGGCTGTCAGACCATAGGCATTCTCGACGTCGGCGCCCGGGGGCGCCCTATAGGTCTATAGCCCAATAGCCCTACAGCTCCATAGCTCTATAGCTCTATAGCCCTATAGCTCAATGGCCCCATGGCCCCCTAGCCCTATAGCCCTGACTGGGGTTTTCCTCCGGTATTATTGGTTTTCAAGGCGCTGGGTCCACTTTGGTTCGTAGCCCGCTCGACGCGCGACGCAGAAGGCAACTTCGGAGATCCTGGGCGCTCAAGCAGGCGCAAGATCTGCGCGGAGGGCTGCGGCAGCGACCGCGAGGCCGTCAACGAATTAGAACTCGGGTCTGGCCGTTAGCCAATCCAACTCAGTTGATGCGTCGGCCTCAGATTGGCCAACACAATCCTTGACATCGAACCCTGCGTCGTGCAATTCCGACTGGATATCAATGCGCAATGTAGCAAACGCTGCGTTCAACGCGTCGGCGGCAAAGATGGCGCCAGGAGGGCCAAGTCCTGGGAGGATGAAACTTCAAGCCCCACGGACACTCCAGACGGTGCCACGCTGGGTTCCCCGAGTGATGGCCACCAGGCGTTCAGGGAGGATATGTGCCTCCAACAGAGGCTTGGTGCGAAGCTGAGTCAGCATTCCTTGCATGAGAATGGAGGCAGATCAATCCTTCTTAGTGCCTCCTCGAGGCATTATTCATCCCCTGGTAGCTCGACTGCCAACTGGCGGATGGTGCTGTAGACAGCCTGCACAAGGTCTAGGCATAACATGATAGAGAACTTTTTGCTACCGGTCATAGTTCTGATGAAAAGCCTCATGCATAGCACAACCATGTCTGTAATGCGACCGCGCATGTCACCGCGCTGTTCAGCAATGACAGCTGCAACAAACTTGTCACAAGCTGGTGATCCAATGTGCTCGTGGTGAAGCTTGCTGATCCCGCTGGCAAGCCAATTATTTTGATACCTGGCCACGGAAGGGGCTGCCAGAGCCCTCGCCCCCCCAGAAAAAAATCACCGAGCTTGAAGGGGAGCTGTTCTCTCGCCAGAAAGGCACACCGGGCTAGCAGAAGGCGCAGCTTATAAGCCAGCCCCTTAGGGGCGAGGCCAAACATGCCACTCGGGACACCATGCGGCCCAGAGGCGCGGCCTGCTCGTAGGCCTCGCATCAGGGCTTCCAGGTCCACGGGAACAGGGGGCAAGGACAAGCCCGTGGCCTGCAGGGCCTGGCAGAGATCGGGCATGGTGTTATAGTCAGCAGGTCCCCTATCTGCACAAACCTCTGCACCGCTCGCCATTGCTAACACTCTGCATGAATGCGGATACATCGTCAGCCGTGTTTGTAACACCTTCGGCTGCCTTCCTGATGCTGATGCTTGTGGTTTCCCCATGCACCGTGGGGGGCACCTTCGGACAAGAGCCCTAATCCCGCATGGCTCTGGAGGAGGAGGAGGGGGAGGGGGAGGAGGAGGAGGAGGAGGAGGAGGAGGAGGAGGAGGAGGAGGAGGAGGAGGAGGAGAGGAGGAGGAGGAGGAGGAGGGGGATGAGGAGGAGGGGGAGGAGGAGGAGGAGGGGAGGGGGAGGAGGAGGAGGAGGAGGAGGAGGAGGAGGATAAAGAGCCGGTCCCGAGGGAATGGGTCGAGGTTTTTGGGTGTGTCGCTGTCGCCGTCGACGTCGAAGTGTGTGCTGTGCCGGCGTAGGTTGCAGGAGTCGTTCTGGCGTGCTGCTCCTGCACACACCCGTCGACCATGTAGTAAATGGCATCGGAACCTTTCAGTGGACCTGAATCCCTGTCACCGCGTCTAGCCATAATCCTGATGTTTTCCACTCGTCGGTTGGCACTTTGGCGTCGGTCGGCATATGTACTTGGGTGGCCGCACTCTCAAGAAAGGCCGCACGTTCAAATAAGCGTGCCATCGTGTTGGCATAGGCAGCAAGGACATGCATTTTTCTACAAACGAAAAACTCTGGCTGAATGCCTGTTCTCGAAAGAGACGGACCACTCCCGTTAGCATCTCCAAGAGCGATGCCATAGCGGAGTCATGAACAGCCCAGCCCATATGGGCCAAGTCCCCCGAAGCGCCCGCCAGGCTACATTCTGCAAAGAAGCACCAGGAGAGTGCAACCCGATAGGGTCGATAGGCTTAACCCGGCACAATATTTTAAGGCTCTTTGGACCGAGCGCCTTCACGTCAGCATGGCCAAAAAGGCTTGTGATAATTACATCAGGCTTCTTTGGGGGCCTTAGCGAACACTTGAAATACGCGGCAGCAATGTCCACGACCCCGTTGGTGAAATCCCAACAGTGCTTGTTAATGTTGAGCTCCCAGGGCCTATGCGCCACGCTCTGGAACGCCTGCTCGAAGCCAGCTACAGCATCGGGGTTGTTCATCTTGTGCCTGTCCAAAGTAATGGTGCGCTGGTTCGGCTGTAGCCAGCAAGCCCGATAAAAGGAGGCGAGCAAGGGAAGGTCGACGCGAGTATGAAAACCACTGTCAAATTCCATGTCAACCTCGCTGCTCTTGGCGCATGCAAGGTACATAGGGGGTGCACACCAATGTAAGCAATCCGATGCTTGTGACACGTGCCTTCGCTGCTGAGCATCGCATGAGTACTGAAACGCCTGAGGTTGTTGCTGACTGCGTACTCATAGAAAAATCCCACCTTGCGGGTCCTGCTCCTGGCGAGGCGTAGCTGTACTAACAGAATATGGGAGGACGGACCCGGCCGAGCATTGGCATCAATCTAAAGCACACCGGGAGGCCACATAGCCACATGTTTTTCCAACTCCTCCCATAAACTCTTCCTTGCAGCCGCAACTTTGCAATGAGGAACGCGAACCACTGCCACACTGGCAGACAGTGCATGGGCTTCAACGCGACCAAACGATGTTCTGACATTTCTGTGCAGAACTCGAGCATGTCTCATGGCGAATGTAAACTCACGGTTCCCCTTCCTAGCTCCGCCTCCTCCTCCTCCTGCCGACGCAACTCCTCCTCTCTGCCGCTCTCATGATTATGGTCCTCCTCCTCCTGCTCCTCCTCCTCCTCCTCCAGGGCTCGAACCAAACAATGTTTGCTGTGTTCGTCGTGTGTTCGTCGTCCACTCGTTCTGTCTTCGTTCCGCCCGTGCTGCAAACCGAAATCAAAACGACAACGGCCCGCGAAATTCCCAACATTCCGTTTGGCTCGAGCCCTGATCCTCATCCTCCTCCTTCTCCTCATAATCATCATCAGCAACATCAATCATCATCACCCTCACCATCACCGTCACCATCATCAACGTCATCATCATCATCATCATCATCATCATCATCATCATCATCATCATCATCATCATCATCTTCATCATCAGTATCAGCATCATCGTCATCATCATAATTTTCATCATCACCGTCGTCGTCATCATCATCAGCATCATCGTACGTATCACAATCATCATCAGTTCACCATCATCAGCACGCAACACGTCGCCAATAATGCATCATCATCACCATCAACTCATCATCATCACCCCACAAACTTCCGCTGCTTATCTTCCTCATTATCTTCATCCGTCCGAGGCATGTATGTGCACGGACAAAGGGGGGCAGAGGACGTTTTGAGAGAAGAAGACGGTACCATGATATCGGGGAGATGTCGAAGCCCTGGCCAGAACATCCATGATCCCATGGTCCTCACACACACACACACCTATTCAACGCCCCAGATGATCCTCTCTTGCCTCTCCACCTCCAGATCCTCTCCACGGGAGGGTGCCAATAGCGGGGCACTTCTTATCTACCAGCCCTACAAAGGTGGCGTTCAAGGCCTCCCGGGTGAAACCTGTCCTCGGCGCAGCGCCTTCGCTGGGCCGGAAACAGCGGTCGCACAGCACACAGCAACAAACTTCACCAAAGGAGCATGAGGACAGGAAACAGCGGGAAGAGGATGGGCAGGAGAAGACGAGGGAGACACAGCAGGAGAAGAATAATGCTATGCATAAGGAGGGAGGGAAACATGCTTCTGGAGGTCTGCCAAGGTCTCCAAAGACCTTCAGACGACAGGCGCATGCCCGAAAGATCTAGGCACTCCTCCGTGCTCCCCGATGGGGAGGAGGAGGAGGAGGAGCAGGAGAAGGAGGAGAAGGAGGAAGAGGAGGAGGAGAAGGAGAAGGAGAAAGAAAGGAGGAGGAGGAGGAGGAGGAGGAGAAGAGAGGAGGTTGGACTCATGCAGGCCTGGCCCGAGCCAGTTAAAGTGAGAGCGTCAGGTGTTGCCAGAGATGGCCCTGGCCCGATCGAGGCGTCCCAGCTCCTCGCGCCGCTTTGGACCCCCCCAGGGCCCTCTGGGCCCGGCGACGGGCAGCCCAGGAAGCCACCATAGCCTCTCTGAAGACTGGCGGTCACGAGCGGCGAACGTATCCGTATCCGTGCCCTCGCGGTCTGGGATTCTGGGGCGCAATCCCGCGCGGATGCGCGGTCGCACAGATGCGCTCCGCGCAGGGCATCTGCGGGAGAACGCCCCGTATCCGCGGGGTCGCGGCCCAGGGGCCCAGCCCGCGAGGCCGCGGAGACGGAAGTGTTTTTTTCGCCCACGAGGTGGCCACCCTGGGAGGCAAGCGCACGTGAACACTACTCCTGCAGGTCTGAAGCGCTGGCCACCGTTTTCAGAATACGAAGCTTGTCCGCGGCCATATGAAACCCGGCGGGGATGTCCGACACCCAAACGCCGAATACGCCCGCAGGTTCGCAAGTGGCCACACAGGAAACCATGGGCAAACAAAACATACCGATACCGCTACTCAATGCACCGCTCCTGGAGCGCATCCTGACCAGGATCTCGAAGCGAATCCGGCACTGACTACGAGGGGCTCAAGGGTAGCCGTATCGGTACCCAAGCATCCGGTCTTGAATTCTTCAATACTGCTTACCCAGAAATTCAGAAGCATCAATCTGGACTGAAAAAATGTACTCGATCGCCAAATCACTGGATCAACTGATCACCGGATCAACCGGCCACATCACCAGATCACCCGATCACCGGATCAGCTGGCTGAATCACCGGATCAGCCAAATCACCGGATCAAATGGCCGGATCACCCGATATCACTGGATCAGCCGGATCACCGGATCAACCGGCCAGATCACAGTATCAGCTGGCCGGATCACCGGATCACCGGGGGATCACAAGATCGCTGGATCAGCCGGCTGGATCACTGAATCAACCAGCCAGAGGATTACATCAGCCAGATCACCAGGTCACTGCTTACTTGAACATGCCTCTTGCTGAGCTTTATGGGGCTGCAGCCAAGCAGGCCAGCGCGTCATAGTTGCTTAACGAAGTGGAGCTAAACTTTGACCTAGGTTAGCATGCCTTAGATATTGCAGCGTATCCTACAACGGAGTACAGTTGCTTTGATGAAGAGAACCAGTGCACGCAAAACTAATGTAAGCTGTGAATGGACATGTTGAGCTGCGTGAAGCTGTTGCTAAACTGATTCACCTAGGTGATGGTATTTCAGAGATGAGGATGTGGATGATGCAGGTCGCAGCAGCTGGAGCGGCAACGCAATGTTTTATGAGCGGCTGCAGCCGCCACCACTCCGCGCAGGCGCCAAATCCGTCTGTTTTAGCCGTGGCCAGACCACGCCGCCGCGCCCCGCGCTATCTCGCCGAAGGCCACGCACTGCACCTTGGCGCCGTGCGCCGCCGAAGTCCGCCAGACAATGGCGCCGTACCTGGCGCTGTGGAATGTCCACAGTCCCACCAAGGCCGCATGGCACGGCGCCCAAATGCCGCACCTGACCTATCACGCAGCCGCCTGCCGCGTTCCGCATCACCGCGACGTCGCCCACAACGGAGATGCAGTCGCAGATGTTCAGGCGAGCGCCCAGGGCAACCTTGAACCCTAAGCCAAGGAACAGAAACGCGTTCTGCAGCTCGCCCTTCAGTTTCTTGGGCGCGGGCTTCGGCGCAGGTAGCCTCACGCTCAAGTTGAACGCATGGCGATGTCGTGCATGCGCTCGGTGGTGACGTCCCGAGGACGGACCTATTTCTCCCGCTGCAATGCTGGACGAAACTAATAAACATGTGGTTCGCGTGTTTCTTAACGACCTTGTACTTCCACCCCAGCGACCACCACATGGGCAAGGGCCCACTTCGCTTTGAGCGTGGGCTGGTGCACTGGATCCGCGCGTGCGCGCGTCCGCGCGCCACGCGAGCGTGCGGGTGGGAACGGGTGCCCACTTTCGCAGCTACAACCACGCCGAAGCCAACTCTCACCGAAGCCAACCGCCCTGGCGGCCAGCCTCGCTCTCGCCAGATCCATCCCCGCCGCCGCCATCTCTTGGCGGCGCGTTCAAGGGGGTGGAGGGAGGGGGCTTCTTAGAAGGAGGCTGCTCCTTAGAAGGCGCTGGCCTTACATCTACGGACGAGGCCCGCGCCTTCTGAGAAGCAGGGGTGCTTCTAAGAAGCCCTCCCCCCTCGCCCCACCCCCCTCTGCGCGTGGCTGACCCGCGGTCACTCCCCATATCGCAACTATTGCACCCGCCGCCACCCCCCCTCAGTGCGCCGACTCGAGGCGCCCTCATCGCCGCGGCCTGCGCCCTCGCCGGCCCTCCCCGCGCCCCCCGCCCCCCGACGTGTCGAATGCTGCTGGATGGCGGCGCGGCTGCAGCCCGCAGCTCCACGTGGGCATAACTAGCCATCAGGCCTGTGAAAACAAATATGCGCAGTCAAGGCTGTGAACATGTTCGGCGGTACTCCGTTCAAGCCTTCGAATGCTAGATGGTACGCTGTCGAAGCGATAAACATTTCGTGGACCAGCTTAACAACAAACTGACTCTGCCTGTACACAGTGTGGTGTACAATAGCAGCGTTTAGATGCAACGCGTGACCAAACATGCCAACATCTTTGATGCCAAGCATGTGAACACTATACTTACAACTCGAACGGAACGTAAGCTATGTAATACAAGCTGGCAGTCACGCATATAATGCTGTAGGTGTGGTGAATATGTTATAACACATTGGACTGCCTTGACTCATGTCGAAATATGTCGAGGTTCTGCTGAATGTGGTGGCAACATGTAGAATATGCATGTACTGTATGCTTATGCCATCTTAGACTCAACGCACTTGAGGTGCGTGAGAATGTGTATTGGTTTAGAATAGCAGCTTATCTTGAGTTGACATGTTTGATTTGTTGCCGCTGGTGTAGCTACGAATGTTCCCTCGCCTTATCTTGCTTGACACCAAGCGAATGTAACCTGACGTACTTAAACATTGGAACGGTGTATAAATCATCATAGCGGTTTGCAACACGTCATGCCGTCTGAAACTTGTATATCGCGGTTCACACAAGTTTTTGCTGACGAGCTAATTATGTAAAACCGCTTGTTCACGTAAGTCGACCAGCCGGCCCGATCACCAGATCACCAAATCAGCAGGCCAGACCACCTGATCACCAGATCAGCCGGCCAAATCACTGGATCAACCGTCTGGACCACCAAATCACCGGATCAGCCGGTCGATCACTGGATCAGCCGGCCAAATCAACAAATCATGGCACTGGATCACCAGATCACCGCATCACCAGACCAGCCGGGTCACTGGATCAGCTGGCCAGATCACCAGATCTGGCCAGATCACCGGGTCACCAGATCACGGGGTCATCGGATCAGCCGGATCACCGCATCACCAGATCTCCGGATCAACCGATCACCGGATCACTGGATCACCAGATCAGCCAACCGGATCACCAAATCACTGGAGCGACCCAATTCGAACAAAACAACTCTACAGTTCGCATGCACTCGGACATCCCGACCCGTTACCCAGGGCATGCTCCTGAAGCATGCTTGACGGTCTCGGGGCCCGGCAAGGATGCCTAAAGGCCGAAATCGGCAAGAAACCTCTGGCCGCGATTTCTTCCAAAGCGAGAATGTCCGGGCACCCAGACACCCCACGTCGTGGTTGTTTCTTCACAGGCGTCGACCGCCAGCGGTCGGTGTGGACCCTTCCCCGGGACCGGTTTTTCGTCCTGGGTCGTTTTTTGACGGTCCCGAGGCCCACTGAGGGCCCCCGGAGGCCGAAAAGAGCGAAAATCCTCCCGTCACGATTCTTGTCACGACGCAAGAAGATCTGGGAGGAGCGAGTGTGTCTGGGCATCTTTGTCTCCTCTGCAGGCCAGGGCCCTCCTCTGGCAGCACCCGCGATAAAAAAGCGAGGCCAGGGGCGCAGCGGTGCCCTCTGGCCTCGGTATACGAGCCCGAAGCGGGGCTCGGCACAGACTCACACGCACACACACACACACACACACAAACACACGCGCGCGCACACACGCATACACACAAACACACGCGCGCGCACACATACGAGCCTCCCCCTCCTCCCCCTCCTCCCCCTCCTAACTCTCCTCCTCCTCCTCCTCCGCCTCCTCCTCCTCCTCCTTCTCCTCCTCCCTCTCCTCCCTCTCCTCCCTCTCCTCCTCCTCTCCCTCTCATCCCTCTCGTCCTCCTCCTCCTGCTCCTTCACCTCCTCCCCCTGCCCCTCCACCCCCTCCCACTCCTCCACATACGAGCCTCTCCCAGGCAGTGGCTAAGAGAGTATACAGTCCCCAGACCCCCTTCACGTCGTTACAAAAATCACGACGGGAAATTTTTCGTTATTTTCGGCCTCTGGGGGCTTTACCAGGCCTCGGGACCGTCAAACAACCACTCAGGACGAAAAACCGGTCCCGGGGAAGGGGTCCAGACCGCTGGGGGTCGACGTAGTGAAAAAAATCACGACGTCGGGGGACTGGGTCGGACCTAGGCCAGTAGAACACCCTTCAAAAACATGAAGCCCTTCGCCAGCCAAACTGAGGAACATTCCAGGGTGCCCTCCCCCAGGACGCACCAGAGCATCGAACAAACACGAAGAACATCGGGTACCCTCCCCGAACCGACCTCGATCTTATACCTCGGTCCGACCATATCTGGCACGCTGGCGAATACCGTCGGTGGCTAAAGCACAGCCGCGCTGGTGAAAATCGTTGGCGTGGATCTTTTGAGTATCTTGGCCGAGAGTCCTACATCCTTGCGGTGGGATTTTTTGGAGGACTCCCAGTTTGGGTCTGAGCAGATGGGGTCGGAGGATCGCGTCGCAAAGTCGATACATCGGCGATGCATCGGCGATGCACCAGCGACGTCGGCGATGCAACGGCGACGTCGACGTGAAGCAAAACGGGACCCACATCGAGCCGCATCGGCGATGTGGAGCCACCCTTCGACCTTGGCATGGGCGCTCGGGTGCTACTCTTTGCGTACGAAAGTCAAACTACAAGTGATAATTAACTGAAAATACAGAACTCACCAAACATGCACAAGCACGGTGTTCCAAACCCATCAAACATGGGGGGCGTGGTCAGCGGGCATGCTGGCGGTGGCCTTCACGGGGCCACAACACCTACCCGAAAACGAATCCGAGAGAAGGGGGTCGAGTAGTGGACGCATGCCCATCCCAACTTCGACCCCACTCCCTGACTCCAGATTCGCCGTGCGTGGGTTGATTTTCCGACCTCGAACTCTGCCGGAGAGGCAACCCCGAACAATGCGAAAAAGCAGGGCGGCAATGCCCGCCTCGGAGAAACAGGACGGACATCTCTGCAAACGTAGATGGCGCAAGCAGCGACGTGCAACGTATAGGGCGGATGCCGATATCGAAGGAACTTGAACAGTGGGGCTGACATCTCCGCATTGCTTGCGAAATCGCCCTACGCACGGCGGATTCGAAGTCAGGGCGGCCCGGGGGGCCCAGCGCGGATCCAAGAGATCCGCGCGGAGCGCCAAAAGCTCATGTTTATGGCGTTTTTGTCTTCTTCTTCTTCTTGTGCTTCTTCTTCTTCTTCTTCGGATAGCGCCGATCCATCGGCGGTGTACCGCCGCTTCCAGCTCGATGCCTTCCCCCCGAGGTGCCCCCCCCTGACGCTCTCCCTGAGCTCCCAGGGCACCCCGCGCAGACCGCACGCTCGGGAGCGGGCCGCGCGGGGCTGCGGGCTGCGTGCGGGGCACGCGCGGGAGCCGTCGGGCCTCCCGGCGGCTCGACTGCGCCGAAGAGCTGGCGGGGGTGCAGAGGGCGGAGAGGGGGGGGGAGGGAGCAGGGAGGAGGAGGAGGAGGAGGAGGAGGAGGAGGAGGAGGAGGAGGAGGAGGAGGAGGACATATCTTCATCGGTGGCGGCGGCGAACGCAGGCGGCGGCGGCAGCAGCTGGGAAGGCACAGGTGCACGTAGACAGCAGAGCAGACTGCAGCCTCCCGTGCCCAATGATTAGAGAGAAGCGGCGGCGAGGGCCCCGGAACGGCCCGAGGAGGAGGCCCGGAAAGCGGCCACCGCCCCGGCTCAGGACGCCCATACCAACGCAGCCCCAGGAGCTCCCGGAGGAAGCTCTTGGGTCCACGGGCAGGGCCGCCCGAGCTGGACGAGGGAGGAGGAGGAGGAGGAGGAGGAGGAGGAGGAGGAGGAGGAGGAGGAGGAGGAGGAGGAGGAGGAGGAGGAGGAGGAGGAGGAGGAGGAGGAGGAGGAGGAGGAGGAGGAGGAGGAGGAGGACGCAGGGTGGAGGGAGGAAAAAAAAGAAAAAAGGAAGAGGAGGAGGATCAGGAGGAGGAGGAGGAGGAGGAGGAGGAGGAGGAAGAGGAGGAGGAGGAGGAGGGACGCAGGGTGGAGGGAGGAAAAAGGAGGAAGAGGAGGAGGAAGAGGAGGAGGAGGAGGAGGAGGAGGAGGAGGAGGAGGAGGAGGAGGAGGAGGAGGAGCAGGAGCAGGAGGAGGAGGAGCAGGAGCAGGAGGAGAGGGGGAGAGAACACAGCCTGGGCCCTGGCCAGGGACTCTTGTGTCGTGCCGGACCTAACCTCCCAAGGGTTGCATCCCGAGTTCCCCATCCTCCTCCCGTAAAAAAACACGGCGGACTTTCTGTTGGCCGTCTGCGGCCTCCAGGGGCCACGCCACTTGGACCGTCGGGAATCTTCTGACCTGGGTCTATCCAAACCCGGGTCAGTCAGGCTTTGCAGGATCGTGCAAGATCGTGCAGGATCTGGCGCTCTGGCTGACCCCCGTTCGCATTCACCCTCGCCCCTGGAGCCCCGAACAACGGACACGGGTGACACGCCGGTCCGCTGAGGGTCGACGTTCCGGAGAAACAAATTATCCCGGCAAAGCAACCTAACAGCGATGAGTATAAGCATATCTGGAAGCATTCCCCTTAAGACTCAAGTGAGAATCCAGTTGTAGAATTCTGCTGTTCTCGCAGTCGCAGTCGCATTCGCAATGACAGTCGCAGTGGCAACGGCCTTAGGATCCAATGGAATCCTAAGGATTCCTAGGGATTCCTAAGGCATCCTTAGGCATCCTTAGGAATCCATAGGAATCCTTAGGAAACCTTAGGAAACCTTAGGAATCCTGATTCCTGGGGATTCCTAGGGATTCCTAAGGATTCCTTTGGAATCCTAAGGATTCCTACCTGAGCCTGCCTCGGCCTCAGCCTCAGCCTGCCTCAGACTCAGCATGCCTCAGCCTCAGCCTCAGCCTGTCTCAGCCTCAGCCCTCAGCATCAGCCTCAGCCTCAGCCTCAGCCTGCGTCGGCTTGCCTCGGCCTCAGCCTCAGCCTGCCTCGGCCTCAGCCTCATCCTCAGCCTGCCTCAGCCTTAGCCTCAGCCTGCCTCAGCCTCAGCCTGCATCAGCCTCAGCCTCAGCCTGCCTCAGCCGCAGCTTGCCTCAGCCTCAGCCTCAGCCTCAGCCTCAGCCTGCCTCAGTTTCAGCCTCAGCCTCAGCCTGCCTCGGCTTGCCTCAGCCTCAGCCTCAGCCTGCCTCGGCCTCAGCCTCAGCCTCAGCCTCAGCCTCAGCGTCAGCCTCTCAGCCTCAGCCTCAGCCTGCCTCAGCCTCAGCCTCAGCCTCAGCCTCAGCCTCAGCCTCAGCCTGCCTCAGCCTCAGTCTCAGCCTGCCTCGGCCTCAGCCTGCCTCAGCCTCAGCCTCAGCCTGCCTCGGCCTCAGCCTGCCTCAGCATCAGCCTCAGCCTGCCTCAGCCTCAGCCTCAGCCTGCCTCGGCGTGCCTCAGCCTCAGCCTCAGCCTGCCTCGGCCTCATTCTGGGAACACGAAGATCACGAAGTGACCCACAGTTGACTCCGGTCAATCAAAATATGGTACAGGAACGGTGTTCTGGGAAGACGAAGAACACGAAGTGGCCTACAGTTGGCTCCGGGCATTCAAAGTGTGGCCTGGGAATGGTGTTCTGTGAACACGAAGAACACGACGTGGCCTACAGTTGGCTCCTGGCATTCAAAATATGGTACAGGAGCTGTGTTCTGGGAGCACGAAGAACACGAAGTGGCCTACAGTTGGCTCCGGGCATTCAAAATATGGTACAGGAACGGTGTTCTGGGAAGACGAAGAACACGAAGTGGCCTACAGTTGGCTCCGGGCATTCAAAGTGTGGCCTGGGAATGGTGTTCTGGGAAGACGAAGAACACGAAGTGGCCTACAGTTGGCTCCGGGCATTCAAAATGTGGCCTGGGAATGGTGTTCTGGGAATGGATTCCTAAGGATTCCTCAGAATTCCGAAAGATTCCTGGGGCTGTCCGGATCTGTCCGGATCCCGCCCAGACCCCCCTGGGGCGTCAAGATGCTCTCTTTTGAGCCCACTAGAAGCCTATCAGCAAAAGCTCTTAGGTAAAACAAAAAATTATCCCGGCGAAGGGCCCAACCATGTGCAGCTGTGTGTAACGCAGGTGTGGGTATCGGCCTCTGAGACCACGACGCGTGTGACGGGTGTGCCAAAATTGGCACGGGTACGCCATGCGGACGCTGCCACAGGAGCCGTCGGTGCAGCCCCATCTGAGGCCACGAAACGCGTGAGGGGTGCGCCGAAATGCAGGGTGGAACCACGTGCGGGCGCTGCCACCAGGGCCTTTGGTGGCCGCGAAACGTGGAAGGGGTGCGCCGAAATGGAGGGGGAACTGCATGCGGAACCTGCCACTGGGGCCCTAAGTGGAACACTCCATGGGGCCACGAAACGTGTGAGGGGTGCGCCGACATGGAGGGGGAGCTGCATGCGGACTTGCCACGGGGGCCTTGAATGGAGCACCCTATGGGGTAACGAAACGTGTGAGGGGTGCGCCGAAATGGAGGTGGACATGCATGTGGACCCTGCCACTGGAGCCTACGGCGGAGCACCGTATGGGGCCACGAAACGTGTGAGGGGTGCGCCGAAATGGGGATGGAACTGCATGCGGACCCTGCCACTGGGGCCTTCCGCGGAGCACCCTATGGGGCCACGAAACGTGTGAGAGGTGTGCCGCAATGGAGGTGGAACTGCATGCGGACCTTGCCACTAGGGCCTTCGGCGGAGCACCCTATGGGGCCACGAAACGTGTGAGGGGTGCGCCGAAATGGGTGTGGAACTGCACGCGGGCCCTGCCACTGGGGTCATCGGCGGAACACACCATGGGGCCACGAAACGTGTGAAGGTGCGCCGACATGGGAGTGGACCTGCATGCGGACCCTGCCACTGGGGCCTTCGGCGGAGCACCCTATGGGGCCACGAAATCTGGAAGGGGTGCGCCGAAATGGGGGTGGAACTGCATGCGGACCCTGTCACGAGGGCCTTCGACAGAGCACCCTATGGGGCCACGAAATGTGTGAGGGGTGCGCCGAAATGGGGGTGGAACCGCATGCGGACCCTGCCACTGGGGCCTTCGGCGGAGCACCCTATGGAGCCACGGTGCGTGCGAGGGGCGTGCCGGAATGGAAATGGAACTGCATGCGGGCCCTGCCTCTGGGGCCTTGGGCGGAGCACCCTATAGGGCCACGAGACGTGTCAGGGGTGCGCCGAAATGGGGGTGGAACTGCATGCGGACCCTGCCACTGGGGCCTTCGGCGGAGCACCCTATCGGGGCACGAAACGTGTGAGGGGTGCGCCGAAATGGGGGTGGAACTGCATGCGGACCCTGCCACTGGGGCCTTGGGCGGAGCACCCTATGGGGCCACGAAATGTGGAAGGGGTGCGCCGAAATGGAGGTGGAACTGCATGCGGACCCTGCCACTGGGGCCTTCCGCGGAGCACCCTATGGGGCCACGAAACGTGTGAGGGGTGCGCCGAAATGGGGATGGAACTGCATGCGGACCCTGCCACTGGGGCCTTCCGCGGAGCACCCTATGGGGCCACGAAACGTGTGAGGGTGCGCCGAAATGGAGGTGGAACTGCATGCGGACCCTGCCACTGGGGCCTTGGGTGGAGCACCCTATGGGGCCACGAAACGTGTGAGGGGTGCGCCGACATGGGGGTGGAACTGCATGCGGGCCCTGCCACTGGGGCCTTGGGTGGAGCACCCTATGGGGCCACGAAACGTGGGAGAGATGCGCCGAAATGGAGGTGGAACCGCATGCGGACCCTGCCACTGGGGCCTTTGCTGGAGCTCCCATATGGAGCCACGAAGCGCTGCAAGGGGGTGAAACGCAGGGAGGAGGGAGGAGAGGGAGGAGGAGGGAGGAGGGAGGAGGGGGTGGGGGGGGGGGCAGCGGGAGGTGGGAACGCGGGGCGCTGTCTCTTCAAAACGAGGACCCAACACCACAGGACGGTTGGGGCAAAAACGACGTCGGGGCGCAGGGTTCGGCGGGCGTCGCGGGGGCGGCGAGGGGGGAGGACGCTGAGGGGGGAGGACGAGGAGGCGGAAGGAGGGGGGCGCGATGGAGGATGGGGGCGACGAGGGAGGGGGGAAGAATGAGGGGACGACGAGGGCGGACGAGAGGACGGCGGGGGAGGAAGGGCGAGGGGACGCCGAGGGAGGACTAGGAATCAGAGGAGCAGGGCCAGAACAGACCCAATATGCATCGACGATGCTGCAATACAGCATCCCGTCCTCGGCGGCACAGAGAGAGAGAGAGAGAGAGAGAGAGAGCGGGGGGCCTTCTCAGAAAGCTCGAAAATTCCCTGGCCTTCTGAAGAATCTTCTAATCTAAGCCTCCTTCGAAGACACGGAAGAAAAGCCTCGGGGAAGGCCCGAAGTCTTCTGAGAAGGCCTTCTTCTTCTCACTTCAACCCCCTCGCTCTCCGCCGACGTCCCAAGTCCCAAGTCCCCTCCTCCTTCGCATCG